TGAGTTAGAGATAATCATATTGAGAGGATATTGTGGATGTATTGATCATTAAAAGGAGTTTGTTAAATGTTGATTGGAAATATGCATGCAAAGTGATTACCGAACCCTAACTTTGGCAATATTTATTAAAACCGTTCAAATCATTATTTTACCGCATTTATTACTCACATGCAAAAGTTACCATTGTTTTAAAACCAAACACTTTGTTACTACAAAGTTACGAATTTAACAACTGTAGAAAGGCTGCAAAATTTCATATTCCCTGTGGAGACGATAACAAAAACCCGACACTCAACCACTGTTTTAACAATGAGCAGAGAATGGAGGAAAGGAATGTTGATAAGGAAAATACAAAGATCGCTTTGCAAGTCTGTTTCAATAAAAGAGACAAGAAGCCGAAGGGAAAGTTTCCTATGAGAAAACGTAGAGGAAACTTTCATAATTTTAGTGGAAAAGAGTTCCAAATTCCAAGAATTCAACATTCCAAAAGGGTGAAAATAATGGCAACAGGTATGTTGGATCAAACATCTCTAAATGAGGCACTGTTAGAGGTAGATGAGGTATAATGATGGTTCACAAGAGCAGTGTGCAGTGCTATAATTGTCAAAAGCATGGTCATTTTGTAAGAGAGTGCAATGCCAACGAGAAAAAATCTTAAGAAGATGAAGCTAGCATTGTTAGACAAGAGTTTGATGATGAGAACACACTTTTGGCCATGATCACAAAAGGAGAATACAACAACAACATATTGCAAGATAGCAACAGCAGTTTGAAAAACACTGCAAAACAAAGTGTAATCAGTTGCAGTTTTTATGCTAACCGGTTACATGCTAAAGAAAACGTCATGGTAACTTTGAAAGAAGCAGTGAAGTTCCTAGATAAATGGTGTTTGTACTCTAGGTGTTCAATGATATGACGGAGAGGAAATATTAATTTGTTACAACCATTTGTGTCATGAGGAACAAGGTGAAGTTTGCAGATGATATCGCTCTAGTGACGGAAGGGATTGGTGATGTATCAATCGGGAGAAGGGATGGTATACATTCTTTGATAAAGGATGTATTGTATATTCTTGAAATCAAGTGTAATCTTCTAAGTATTGGATAATTACTTGAGAAGGGTTACAAGATTCATATGGAGAACATGGTGTTATGCGTTATGGATGCAAACAAGGTTTTGCTCCTAAAGGTTCTTATGGCTCCCAATAGAATTTGTGAGGTTGATTTAAAGGTTATATAACATAGGTGTCTTGCTATAGCGGCTAGTCGAGAAGAGTGGATATGGCACTATAGGTTTGGACATCTTAATTTTCGAGATCTCAATGTCTTCAAAAATAATGGAATGGTGATGGATCTGCCATTAATCAACCTACAAACTGATCTTTGTGAAGAATGTGTGCAAGAAAAACAACGTATGGGAAAATTCAACAAGGATGTAAGTTACAAAACCAAGTGTTACCTTGAGGTGTTGTATTTGAATGTGTGTGGACTGATGCAATTGATTTCATTTGTGGCAATAGATATTTTGTCACATTCATTGATGATCATAGTAGAAAACTATGGACATATCTAATAAATAGAAATGATGAGGTACTTAAAGTGTTTAAGAAGTTCAAGTCAATGGTTGAAAGGAAAAGCAGTCACCAACTCAAAGTTCTCAAAACAGATGGTAGGGGTGAATATCTCTCAAATTACTTTGGGAGGTTTTGTGATTGAGAGGGCATAATACATGAGGTAGTACCACCTATTACACAGTAGCAAAATGATGTTCTTGAAAGGAAGAATCAGTTGATTATGAACATGGTTAGAAGCATGTTGAAAGGTAAGAACTTGCCGAAAGAATGATGGGAAGAAACAGTGTCCACGGTTGCATATTTGTTGAATAGGTGTCCAACAAAGAATCTTGAGAAGATCACATTAGAGGAATCTTGGCCCGGATTCAAACAAAATATGAGTCACTTGAAGGCATTTGGTTCAATTGCGTATAGACATGTTTCAGATCAGCTTAGAAAGAAGTTAGGTGACAAAGAAAGTAAATTATTCTTATCGGGTATCATTCTACCAGTGGTTACAAGTTGTATGATGCATCAAACAGGAAAACTGTGATCAGTATGAACGTCGTTTTTGACAAAATAAAAGAAATGCAACCGAGTGCAGCCGGTTATTAGTAGAACGTAATCAAGTTAAAACAGAGAAAAAATGGTTCTTGTAGTATTTGAAAGTGCATAAACAAACCTGGTCGAAGGTCAAAGTGTAGAGAATGTGAGAAGATCAACAAGGCAAAGAGGTTTACCTGCAAGACTCCAAGATTGTGAGTTGTTCCAAGATGAAAAAATCAATGACGATGGTGATTTCGTCCATTTTGCACTTATGGTCAAATCTGGACCTGTTAAAACAAAGGAGACTTTGAGTGATCCAAAATGGCTTTGTGCTGTGAAGGAGGAGTTGGAATAGATTGAGAAGAAATTTGAAATGGAGCATTGTAATGTTGGCATTACTCCGACAAAACCAAAGCTCCGCTTGTTAAAGAATAAGGATGAGCATGATGTTAATCCAACTCAGAATTAGAGTCTGGTTAGATCCTTGCGTTACTTTTCCAATACGCGCTCGGATTTTGAATTTAGTGTCGATATTGTGAGCAGATTACTAAAGGTGTCTCACTTGACAGAAGTAAAGAGGATAGAAAATTCTGGTTCCCACAATTTAAAATGGCAAAAAATGCAATTTACTCGAATGTGTCGATTCCAACTAATGTTGAGATAAAGATGATAGAAAATTCACAGATGAATACATCTTTATGTCCGGAGAAACACCAATCTCATGGTGTTCGAAGAAGAAACCGATAATGGTGCTCTCTTCTTGTGAAACTGTAAATATTAGAGCTTCATTATATGTGAGCCAAGTCGTGTGGTTGAGGGCGACGTTGTGTGCCAAGTCGTGTGATTGAGGGTGACGTTATAACGCTCATGATTGATAAAGCTTCCGCTATAAACCTTGTTAAGAATCTCATTGCACATGAAAGAAGTAAACATATTAATATGAGGTTTCACTACTTGAGAGAACTCGTTAGTGAAGAGAGACTGAGGTTGGAGTATTGTAGAAGTTAATACCAAGTGGCCGATTTGTTGATCAAAGGAGTCTTGATTGAAGTGGTCAAGAAATTAAAGAATCAGGTGGATTTCGAAGACTTTGAGGACTTGAACTAAAATGGTGTGTTGAGAATATAAAATAATTCAAGTCAGTGCAACAGGTTACAATTTTATGTCAACTGATTACATCGTGTTATGCAGTGTTTAGTTTTCAAATAGAACCATAATGTAATCAGTTGACATATTATGTCAACGAGTTACATTTGTTGTATTTCCTACAAATTCTGAGACAATAGCTATATGCAATAGGTTGACATCCGCTTACATTTAAGAGTTTTCCTGTTTGATATTTGTATCTCATCTTATTTAGTTGTATATATACCATTTTGGTATCTTATTAATGAATAATTGGTCATAGTTTTCACCCTTATCACTTCCTCTCATTCTCTCGCTCTCCACATTCAATCACTTCCTCTCATTCTCTCGCTCTCCACATTCAATCACTTCCTCTCATTCTCTCCATCTCCACACTCAACTACTCAGCAACCTTGCGGTTCTAACATTATGTGAAACCATAATTCCAAAGGTAGAAAATTTTGCTGCACTTACCAAGTACATCCCAACATCACAATGAAGATCAATTTATCCCTCTAGAATTGTCACATATATTACCTTTGATCAATGGATATAGATTTTCTGTTAGGAGTCCAAAACAGAGACATGAAAATAACCAAATGTGCCTCGAGATCTATAATTTCCAAGGGTCCTCTTGCCTCATGGTTATTGAGTATTAACTTTTCCTTGCACAAAAACGAACCTCCATAAACATTTTGGTTTCAGACTTCCAGAAAATGGCATAGAAAATTGGTTTGTATGCCATTTTGGTTATCTCAAAACCGGTCAAAAGGCAAACCCAAAAGCATACTAAATTTGTAATTAATCTATATAATTTACAAGATTCTAACATATGCATGCAGTGTGATTAGAGGAGGACAATATGTTTTGTTTAATAATTTGGTTTGAAGGAAAACCATTGATTTCCCTTGGGTTAATGGATTGCCTTCAACCCAGAAAAGCCATATGGATATACAGAGCTTAGAGAAGAGATTATAACATTTGCAAATTGACTCTGTTTCCTCTTCTCCCTAATGCATAACCTATGGTTTTAAACTGTGTACTGCATCACATGGCAATTGCAGTGGCTTTGAAATACAGGAAAATCTACATAATAAAACTTCCTTGGTTGCAAATTAACACATGCAACGACTCCATTAAACTACCACTCAAAAACCAATATCCTTAGTATTTTTTTAAAAATAACAATCTAGGCCGTCTTAATTTTTTGGAGACAATGTGAAGTGTTCTCAATTTAGCTAAGGTTCAACCGTAGCAAATCGTATAGGAATCCTATTTAACTATGGTTTAATTGTGGCAAATGTGTAATGAAGTCATATTTAACCACTGTTAATTGTGGCTAATTGAAATATAAGTGTTACAATCCATCTTACACAACTTTATCACAGGCCCTGCCAAAGTATATAGCTCAGAGGTTTGAGGCACAAACTAAAAACCAACAGTGTAATAAGAACTAAAGGAAAGTTTCATTCAATGCAGAAGTTCTACTCAATTGACAACATCTAAGTTCTATTCAATTCACAATAATATATAAAGGGAAGTTTCTCATTGTCATTAATACACCAAATACCGAAGCCAGCAGACTAAGAAATTCCTGAATTCAAAACTCATATAAGAATCAAGAACACAGCAAAACAAGAAACAATTAAAATATCTGTATCCTTACAACATTCTAGGATTGCTATAAATGAAGTGAAAAAGTAATCTTTTTCCCACTACCAAATACCGAATCAAAAGAACAAGTTTCTATACAATTACAAATAAAAACGAACCGCATTCAAAGAACTTGCCTATCAGCTGCATCAGCAACAATAGGCAATCTAGGCAATTGCCCCAAAATGCATGAAGAAGAGCCATAAATTAAGCAAACCAAGAGGAACAAAAACACAGTGCTATCCAAACTCATCAACAAATCCAACCCAATCCCACCTCTTGGATTAAACCCTCTTTCCAAAAGGTCAGGAAAAATCAACAGCACATCAAGCACAATAGCTTGCATTGTATTGAACCTCACATATCTACTGAAATTAGGGTTTCTGACAACAAAAAAGTAAAGGGTTAAAAACACAAGAAACCCATTAAAGGGAAAGCTTTTGAAAACCCTAATTGCAGGAATCAATGGTTCAACAATAGCTTGAATGGGGTAGAATTGAGTGATTACAAATTTTCCATACTGTATGCCATCAAAAAAGGGGTAGAGGTAACAAAGGGCGGAAATTAAACGGTCAGAAGCATCAGCTGAGTCGCTGTCATTGGATTTGGCAACGATTAGGGTTCTGAGTTTGTTGGATTTTGTGAATTTTTTGGGAAGAAAGTTAAGAGTGAGAAGAGAAGAAGGGTTTGAAGAGGAGAGAAGAAAGGATGATTGAAGGGGTTTGTGTGAGAGATTGAGAGATGATACTGCTAGAGATGCCATGGTTAAAGGTTGAAATTTGGGAGAAAGATTTGATTTTTTTGGGTGAATGAATGAATGAATGGTAGTTTGGGAGGGTAAGGTAAAGAGATGAGGAAATGGAACAAGAACAAGAGAACGTGTTTCTCTTTCAAACTAGTATTTTGATTTTCAATAAATCATTTTAAATAAAAGTTATAGCAAATATATAATTTAAGTATTAAGAAAATAACTTTAATCATTTTGTTAAAAGATAGCATTTTTTACTTAAGAAAGCAATTTAAAATATTTTATTTAAAGTGATTTGTTATAAGTTTAAGTGATTTATGATAATGTATAAGTATTTTCAAAATATAACATTTTTTAGAAAAATATGATTAAATATTAAATGACAATATATAAGTAATTTTTTATAATAAAAATCTATATTTTTGGATGACGATAAAATTATTTAGAATTAGAAATATTCAAGGTGATATATTATCAAGGTATAATTTATATTTGAAATTGTATTTAGAATATTTTTATTTTTTGTATTACAATTTATTTTTATATGTCGAGTGATGAAAATTATCAACTTGAATCCACTCCTAAAATAAAGATTTGATCTTTTTCAATATATTTCGATTCTTCATAATACCTCCTTCAAAGATGATGGAGTTCCTCCAATTCCATATATTCCAACAAATAATCGTCCATAAATTATATAACAATTGCTTTTATACTTCAATTCAAAGTAAATAGCAAATTGAATAATATGAGAGGAACGAAAAATTTTCTCTTACATAATGTTGATGCATAGTTAAGAAAGAATTTTATTCCACAACAAATTGCTAATTGGACAACTTAAAAACAACTTTAAATTTAATGTAAGACTATTTAATGTTTTCTAAAATTTAATTAATATGTTTTATCTTCTCCAAAGTACTTAGATCATATAATTCACCAGAGTAAGACACACATCAAAGTTCATAAAATAGTAATAAAAGTATACATGTATAATATTCACCAATAAAATTCTCACATCCTTTATAGAAGTTGAACTCATACATTTGCATAGAAGCATGCGTAATTTCTTAATAATAGGATAAACATTATTTGTCAATAATATAATTGATCAGATATTTACCTAAATAATTAGTATTAATTGATTATTTTTGTGAGATAATGAATTCGATAGTTGGTTGTCGGTTGATGATTTATATGTCATCAGGAGATGGTATTTAAATACTCTAATGTCTAAGTCAGTAATAATTTGAAACGACAAGAAATGTTTTAGGTTTTAAAGAGTGTGTGACTTTATGTGACATTTGTTTCCCTTTTATAAGTGGATTCTAAGATTTTCTAGGATCTAAAACCTTCGTGTGTCTGAAAGGTATCACAGTTTTATTCGTTGTCATCTAATGATCATTATTCAATCACTCACCTTAATTAGGTGTTTCCTTATGTTCAACCCTAAGGTGTTCTCCAAGTCTCACAGCCTTCTCCATAGTGCATTTTATTGCTCATGTACCTCATTTTAACCGTTCTTAAGGTTATAGGTCGAATCGAATCATATTTATTATGGCTCATACTCTTATTAGGTTGTTGTTATTATATATGTCGGCCCATATGGATACATTAGCCCCCTAAGCCTGATTTGGTGAAGTCAGAATGTGGTTGGTGATCATTGTCTACTATTGTGGTGGTATTAGTGGATGTTTCGTCCATTATTAACATTGTCTCATTGACTTTAATATTTGGTATTCCCTTTTTCTCTTATTAGGAAATGATGGGGTTTCTTGGAATTTGTCACTCGGTTATCTTCCATGTGTTGTTTATAGCGTTTAAGATGATGACATGTCATTAAGCATGATATAATTAATTTCTAGTAGCTATAACTATCATTGTTGTTTTGATGATGTCATCTTTGGTGACATTGTATTTGTTTACCGGTCAATACGTGGCGCTCAAGTTATATTGTCTTTGCAATGCTGGATCTTTTCCTTTTTTGTCTTCTTTCCTTGAGGAAAATATATCTATAAATACTGGAATGGATTGTGTTTCTCCCTTTTATTCCTTCCTCCAGTTTCTGCTTGCATTCAGAGTGTTGTTTCTTTCTCCCTTTTGAAGCACTTTCATTGTTCTTTAATTTTCTTCATACTCTCTGCTGATAAGTTTTTACTATCCGTTATTTCTTTATATTTCATTGAACACAATAGTGATTAGTTTGATGAAGTAGTTTGAACTTCTAATGCTTCTCCTCCCCCACTTTCTTCATTCTTAAAGGTTTTAGGAAAGTTGTTAGTATTTTGGTATGATTTCTAATATAAAAATATTTATGTCGTCATTCCTTCCACGCGGTGGAGAATGATGAGCATGTGGGATTACCCTCCTTAAATTTCACTCTTCTTTGTGTGTGATTAGGTCATTGGTGCATACCATTAAGTACCCTTCTAAGCCTAAAATTATGAAGGAAATATCATATGTGATTTTGAGTAAATGATATTCACTTGGGCTTTTGTGTATTATGATTCAGCAGAATTAGATAAGTATGAGGCAATTAAAGAAGTGGGAGTTCCCTCTGGTGCTTGGAAATTCGTCGTCCCACCCTTAATCGATAAGTTCTATGAAGATTTCTTTTATCCTTTTTTCCCAATGTATTATATGATAATCAAGGAAATTATTTTCTTCCTCCCACTTACCACCTTTGAACAACAAGTTCTTTGTTACCTCGTAGGGACCCTCTCACATTTGAACCCAAACTATTGGGCCTTTATTAGAGTGTGTCAATCATTTTGTCAATACCATGAATGAAAAACATCTCTGAAGGTTTTCTGTAGTATTTTCTCGGTTGCTTGGGAAGGTTCGACATCTCTATACGCCCTAATACATTTCAAATGGTTAAGATGTTTTAATTTTTTGCCAAGTCTTTTAAAAAATTAAGTTTCTCCACATCATTGATTAAAGTGATTGTATACCTCATGTTATATTATTAATTTTTTTATAAATTGATTGAATCATTTGTATATCGCGTAATGCTAATTAAATGAATATCACAATTGAACTGGATTTAATTAACAAAAATAGTCTCAGTATTTGCTCAACAACAGTGAGTACTGAAAAAATAAAGTATTGTAAATGAGGTAATAAAGTATGGATGATAAAGGAAGGTTATATAAGAATTAATGACATCACACAATGCACACCACTCTCAGAATATGCTTTGGCCTCATATACTCATTTGCTAACAAACTGGTCCCACCTTCATTGTGTCTTCCTCGTTATGTTACTTACTATTCTTACATGCTATACATTCCCTTCATTCTTCGTGACATCCACATTAGCACCTATTACATTTCCCACCCCTTTAAAATTAATTTTTGAAGGTGATAAAAACACAAGAAGGGGTTGAATTGTGTTTGTTTTTTCTTTCTTTTCTGTAAATCACTTATCAGATTCTGAATACAAAGTCAAGCATTTGAATCAGAGTTAAGTGTTTAGCAGCAGATTAAAATAGTTCAGAGGTAGAAAGGAAAGAAAGAGAGACACAAGAAATTATCCTGGTTCCTCCCAAAAATTGAGAGTAGTTCAGTCCCCTTTCACTTCCAAGTGATTTCACTATAATCAAAATTGATTATAATTGCTCAAGCACAAAGCAAGAGAGTTCCAATGCTCAAACACACAAGGAAGATGCTTTAATGTTAAATCACACAAGAAACAAAATTCAGATGCTCAAGAACATAAGCAAGAAACTTCTTAAACTCTAACTAATAGTTAAGAGTTTGTGAAAAACTACATTTGATATACAATCATAGATGTAGACGAAATACAACATAAAAAAACTCTAAGACTTACGAATTTCTAAGATATACAAATATTAAGAAATTCTAAGTTAAACTTGAATTTTTTGTTTTGACAGAGTAACAACTTTTTTATTCTCAATGGTTCGTAATTTTTTCTTCAACTCTTCAGCTCCTTATATTGAGAAATATAAAAATTTTGATGAAGAACTAGCAGTCTTGATGAAGCTTGATCAGAGACGTTAGAATATTATTTGACATGGTTAATCCCTTTGAAAAGATATTTAAATTTTTTTGATTCAAGAGGAATTATTCGTTGCATTCCAATGTCTGTGAAGATGTTTGCTTAAATCATCACATGATCAGAAGAAGACAAATTTATCTCTGAGTCTAAAAGTGACCTGTCAGAGTCTCCTCGATCTTTGCATTGATTAACCTCAAAGCATGATAGTGACCTATCAGAGTCTTCTTGGTTCTTGTATTTGATTGACTTCAGGGTCTGAGTCTGTAGAGTCTTCAGGTTTTGATCCTTCACAATCTGAGTCTTTAGATGTTGACTTTATTCATAGTATGAGTCTTCAAAAGTTGACCTTCTTCAGATTCTGAGGAGTCTGGTTCTCTTCCTTCAGATTTTGGATCTTTTAGCTTCTCTTCAAATGTTCGTTTTAGTATCAGAACTAACTTTATCTCAAAATTCTTAGTCTATGGTCATGCACACTTGAAAATATGTTAGTATACCCAATTGCTATTTAAATACTTTGTTATCATCAAAACCTTAGAATTATGGTACAAACCAATTTGTTTCCAACAATTTCCCCATTTTTTATGAAAACAGACACAAGTATTTAAGAACAATGGTTGTTAATTTAATTAACAAGTTGACTTTAAGGTCTGAGGTTTGTAAGCTCCCCCTGAATCTAATAGTCCAAAAGGTGAGGTTTGTAAGCTTCCCCTAAGTTCTATCTAGGTTAATTAAATTTGATTATTATAGCAGAATAATTAATTCTTCATACTTAAGTAAGCAAAAGGTTCTTAACTTTCAGATTCAGGTGCTTAAATACTTATATATCTTACTCCCCCTTTTGTCATCAACAAAAACATAACAATAAAGAAAATAAGGAAAGATACTAAGGAAAACTTTTATAAAACTGAGAAGATAATTGGTCAGATTGCCAAAAATATTTATAAAGAGTTAAAATCCGTAAAATAATAGAAAGTTTCTAAATCCTAAAGCCTAGGGTT